ATAGATATAGATATAGATATAGATATAGATATAGATATAGATATAGATATAGATATAGATATAGATATAGATATAGATATATACATACATATAGATGTCTGTCTATCTGTTTGTCTATCTATCTATCTATCTATCTATCTATCTATCTATCTATCTATCTATCTATCTATCTATCTAATCTATCAGATATACTTTGCAAATTTGCAGATGGGTGAAGTTGAAAGGTATTACACATTGTTGTAAAATAGGGACTAATTGCTCTTTTCATCTTTAATTACTCTTAAGCCAAAAGCCAAGGTACATGAATGGAGAGGAAAACTAATTTCCTTTTCTTCATCTACACAGGATTTTCAACAATAGAGCAAAGGACTTATTTGATTCCTGCATAAACTTAACTTAAACTTAATACTGTCACTAAATACTATTAAGTATGCAGTGTGTAATTTTAACTATTTTAAACTGCTGCCTCTTTTATTTTACAGAGCTTCTGAATATAATACCTAACCCAGTATTATTTTTTCTAAATAATTAAAGCATAGAGGGCTTGTTTTAAAAGTTAAACTAATTGTAAATAAATGTACGTTTTTTTATTTAATATCCTTGAGGATATTAATGTTCCTAATTTCCTTAAGTAGTTGCCTCATTAATTCTAGTTTTATGAGTATTTGAATATTTTATTTACTGTTAATGATATGTCATTTATGACTACTTACAGAAGAAATTAAATAAAGATAATTCCCTAATTTGGGTATGGCACAATAGTTTCTTTGAAAACATCTAATAAATTGATTTCATGTTGAGTGGCCTAAGTTCATGGAATTCAGGTTTTGTTTCTTTAAAAAGTATCAACCTTGTAATCCCATTCATGTAATATATGACAGATAAACACTAGAAATAATCTAATAATGTTATCAATTGCTGGTAGGTAGAATAATAAAACAAATTTTCCTGTAAATTTTAGTCATCAATGTTTGTGTTTAGCTATTAAGATTACCATGGAGAAAAAAAAACCCAATGAAAACCATATTTCTCAGAATTACATACAGAAGTAATACTTTATTTTATCAGAGTTGCAATAAAAGAGTGACAGTGTCACTCTTGTAGGAGACCTACAATGGCCATAAAGGATGTGGGGGGGTGTAGTTTGAAGTATTACACTCACTTCAGCATGCACCTTTCTCTATATGGATGTTTTACAACATTCAGTGAATTTTCCTAAATCTATTTAGGAAAATACTGGAAACATAAGAAAATTACCTAGAAAGCAGAGGATTTTAATCTATCTTGATTAGCCTAGAAGTGTTGACTGGAGATGCTTTCTCGGGTCCCAAAGAAAATGGAGATGGAAAATAAACCAAATAATATTTAATAAGGATTTCAACCTGTAACCCAGTATTGTAATTCCTATTTATTTATAATAGTACTAATATGTGTTGTGTTTGATGTATTTGTAGAGGTAAGAAAAAGATTAAAAGACTGATATAAAGATCCTTATAATAATTAAACATCCTTGAAACTTAAAGAGAAATACTTAAAGAGAAATGGAAAAGAAATTCATTGGCAGAATGTTACTGAAAATAATAATTTTAAATCAGAAACTGCACAGATCACATTAGGGAAAGAGCATGAAACAGTTCATCCTGGTCCCTACAGCAGCCTCCTGAAAGTAGCCACCATTTAAGCAAGAAATTGTGAGTGCACCACTGATGGCCACTTCCAGGAAGCAGCCACATAGCCCGGTGATGATTAGCTTGCCCTCCTTCCCTAACATGGCATGTAGAGGTCTTGAAAAAGTAAGTGTGCAATGGGTGACATGTGAGTGGGGAGCAAACCCAAGTCCTGCCAGAACCTGGCAGGGCAAGATTGGGAGGAGAGAGGCAGAGGGCCCGTTCATCAACTTTTCATTTTTTTTGACTCAGTATCACACATTATTCATGTCAACATAGCCAGTGTCATACACAATTTGTATCTGATGTTGGATTTGAATTGGAAAGACTATTTCAGCTTTTAAAAATGCAATTACAACATGCTGGTCAAAGTGAATTGACAAGTGGTCATGTAGGCTTTCATTTCATAAATAATAACAAGACAACTTTTTTCTCACAGAAACATCCTTGCCAGTTGACCTGGAGAAAAAAAGTTTAATACCATGACAGAGTTTTTAGCACATCAGTACTGCCATCTGTTGGCAATTTATACATTGGAGGCCTTACTTTTCATTCTACCCTCAAACCCTTAAACCAGGGATGTAGGCAGAACGAAACAATTGCTTGCTTTTGAGGCAAGAATGTTGTAAAAACAATAACAACACCCACCACTGTTGCTCACACAGTAATGAAATGCTAGACTTAATTTATGACATTATTCTCACCCTACTAGTATGGCTGAACACATGGTATTTGGCAGTCAAAGCATAATACATATAAAATATTTTCAAGATTGTTTCCATTTCATGACTACTTCATTTATTAAACTTGCTAGCTGTTAACATGACAAACTTCATAAAGCTGCTGATCCAGTGGATTTTAGTATTCATGTATCAACTACATTGAAAAAATGACTTCTAGTTTCACAAACTAAATGCACTGCATATTTAAAGTAATACATACTAAACTAATGAATTAATCAGATCCATATGAATCTCAAGTTGTTACCACTATGTCTACAGGTCAAAATGTTAGTGTATCTATATTTTAGGATTTTGCTGACAGCTCTCTAATCAGTTTCTGTCTAACCCATAAATGTGTGTTTTTCTTTCAGTATGTGGGTAGTTGGAAAGTCATCACATAGTAAGAGAGCTTTTATTTATATATCAGTCTCTATATATTTATCTCTGTTTTTATCTCTGTTGCATAGATTGAATATTATTGATCCTGCCAACAAAGCAGCCGGCTAGTTATGATTCTTATTTTGATGTCTTTGAGGTCTCTTAGAATTATGACTGCCAGGATTCGAAACCACTGTGGTTTCCATTTTCAAATATGATACCTCTGTGGTCAAATTTGTATTTTACATTTCCTTGGATAAACAATCATTTGTGGGAGGTCTTACTTTATGAATCTTCTGCAATTAAGGTGTTAAGCTGTTTAAATGAAAGCATTTTATTTACAATATGTTTGCACCAGTATACATATCCTTGTTATATACATATAACAATTATATACTGTAGTTTCACAATTTTATATAGCTGTGAAGTAATGGCTTTTGTGGGAGATGATACACCCATAAGGAACAGCAGCTTAGGGGAATAGTCTAAGAAGCCTTCAGATAAGATAGAAAGAGAAGCTGTCAAGAAATACAGTTACAAATAAGCTTGCTATTGTTGTGTTTTTTAATTTTATGCAACATTTTCTCATCATGAGATGGACAGCTGGACATATTATGATTGCAGTGGGTATCAATCTGGTATATTTAAAATACTGTCTGACTCCTTGATGTATTTTGAGAATGTCTGCTCAGGCACAATGAAGATTATTGTTGTCATACAAAGCCCTCAGCTGGTAAAATTCAGGCTCCAAGAGTAGGAAGGCTTTAGTTATACATACTTTTGTGAATTATAATTCTTAAGACATTTTGGTCAGTATTGGCACATCTGGTAGATTCTTGTATTAAGTGATGATGTCTGAATTGAATGCTTCATTTGTCATTTTAAAAATGCATGTTGTTCATTATTCTTCAACTTTCTTAATGCAATGAAAAAATTAACTTCATCACAGATATCAATAAAAGATACACTGGGGGGAGGTAGTTACTGATTTTAACTTTACAGAAACAATGAATTGACCTTCTTTCTTTTAACATCCAGGATCATAGAAAGAAAGATATTTCCAGTTATCACAAACATAGTCCTTTGAAAAGCATGGGCTGTTTCTATATATGGTGGAAGCATAAGCATAGCTATGCTTACAAGAGCTCAACTAGAAGCAATACTAAAAGTATTTCCAATTCCTCATGCAGAAGCAGAAGCACAGTTGTATTTATATTCAATAATTCTTAATAAGTCAGAATGAATATGAATAATGTTTTGTTTTATTAGCTGTAATTATTAAATTGAATTACCTGATTTAGAAAAATAATTAAAGCCACATAAAGCATCTTTATTTATCATTAAACCTTTAAAGAAAAAGTGCAATATAATGTTGGCTGTTATATTTTACTTAATCCTAATGAAACCTATCTCCAATAATATATACATTCGTCTAAGTGCTGGTTGTACAATAAATATTCAAATAAACCAGTGTTTGACAACCTTGAGAACTTTAAGCTGTGTGGACTTCAATTTCCAGAATTGCCTTGGCAGCAGGTCATCTGTATACTCTGAGCCATGAAAGCCATGAAAACCACCTTGGGCCAGACACTCTCTCTCAGCCTAACCCATCCCAGGTACCATTTCTAACCCACACTCCCCCTCACTCACTCTCCACCTGGAAGAGGGAGGGAGGGAAAGATGGATGGATGGATGGATGGATGGATGGATGGATGGATGGATGGATGGATGGATGGAAGGAAGGAAGGAAGGAAGGAAGGAAGGAAGGATTGATTGATTGATTGATTGATTGATTGATAATGCTTCTTACCAGCTTTCCACAAGGCAATTCAACTAGGAAACCAATAGAAGAGTGGAATTTTTCCCACTCACACTGCTTTTTTGCCATCCCATAGTCATTGTGTTTCTTTGTCTAGGTAAAAAAAAATCTCTCTGAAACAGTAACCCACTAGATCACAGGTTGGGTAATAAAGCTTAAGGTTGTCAAGTTTGAGAAACACCAACATAAACATTATGGGAAATAGAGTGTATGAATATCAAAAAATGTATGTTAGCAAGGAAATTAAATTAAATTAAAATTGACACATCAATCATTTTAAACATATAGTGAATTTAAAAGTTCCACCCTCCATTTTTTCATCACTCAACGGTCCTTTTGATCTCTTCCCAACATTCCTGCTCTCCATTTATCTCCCCATTTATCTACCTGAAACTTTAAAAGAAAACTTCAGGCAAACCAGAGATCATCTGTAATTGTCCTTTGAAAAGAAAACAATTAGTTTAAAAGGCTTTTGTTTTAAAAAAATATTGAAGAAATAGTTCATTTCAGGTGGAAAAAAACATGAAGATAGTATGGTAAATGAAAAAAAATACTGTATATATTCAATTAGCTTTAAAAAGCAATGCAATTCCTACTCATGAAATCATTCTGATGTGTGTTTTGGTTCCATACATTTTAAAGGAAGGTTGATATACTAAGAATTTAAAACCAGCAAGAGATGTGTGCAGGAGTTTTGCAACACTCTTTTCTTCATTGAACCATGAACTTAAAGTTCCTAAAACTCTTAATCCCACCACAGTCCAGCAAGCTTGCCATATTACAATTCAAATCATATCACAATTTTTATATAAATAATTATAAGTAAAGCCAACAGAAAATGTATGTGTTTATTTTTAATCCACGCTCTTATCTGAATGATTTCAATGTGAAGAAAAAGATTCAGTCATCATTAAGATTTTGAATGTCAGAACACAAAAGAAACATAATTTAAAAAAATTATAGCTTGTGTTATTGCTTAACAGAAAAATAAATTAGCTAAAATATATATTTGACCTCTAATTGTATAATTATACAAAACAAAAAAATTGTTTTTGATGGAGGAAACACTGCTTTATTATATTTTCCTCTATTTTAAAATTTCTCTTTCTCTTTCTAAAAATCTGATCCACTAAGTGCTAGGATACTTAACAGCAGCTCCATTCCTGCCATCTGATTGTTGTATTTAGATAAGCAATAGCTGGTTTGCATTCACTGTGGGGAGCTTCATGATTTAAAAAAAATGTTTTGCTTTGTAATCCCCCACTCATACAACATATACCATTCATCCACAATGGTAGCACCCAAACCCCTTTGAGGAAAAAACTATCTGGAGAAAAACATGATCACATCATTTTAGGTTTGAAATAAAAGGAATTTAAAAACAGAGGAACAAAAGACTTTTTATGTTATGTTCAGCAAACAGAAATTATGATAAAATTAAGAATGTACCCTCTTTCAAGAAAATATCCTAAGATTATCTTCCTTTCTTTACTAATTTCAGAAATCAATTTCCTTAAAATGAGCTTCCTTTAGATGAAGCATCATCGGGCTTCAGTATAAGCAGTGAGTTTTCAACAGCCAATTTAATCTCATTGCCAACAAAGGGAAAAAAGTTAAATGCCTAAAAAATATCTGAATAATAGTTTATAAACTCTTTTAATAATAGTTTATAAACTGTTTTAAGCAATTACGGTTCTCTGAACATTTACAAAAGGCTTACTTCCACTTAAGACTTCATTAGCGTCACAGTTTCAGTTTTCTTTTCTTTTGTGGAGCTTGAAAAGATTTGTTGCATAAAGAAAGCAATCTCAGGTAAAATTTGATTAAGGAAATAATCTGACCTACCTGGACTGCATATCTTGCTGAGTTTTGGATTGGCCACTTTCAGGAGGATTCAGAGAATGAGAGATGTGTTGCTGTAGCTCTACCAAGGACTGATAGTACTGCTGTTGTTGGTGCTGCTGCTGTTTATAACGAGACAAACTGAAAAACAGTCCTAAAATGGCTTTCAAATTTCCATTTCTTATTTCTGCACAGACAAAAAGAAGGAAATGAAAATATCGAAATTAGCTTTCCTTCACAGATGTGCCTAATGGACATTATCCATTGTTTCAGTTCTACAAATTGTCATATTTGAATTTAATATGACAAGGTGTTTAGAGATTTTTATAATGGAATATCTTGTTTCATATTGGATATTAGACATAAATTTTATATCATATACTGAACTCTTATAAAGTACTTACTGGATAATAACACCAAATTTATCCACCATAAATATATTCAAACACATTAATAGCACATAATCACTACTCAAAAGGTAATAATTTTGTATAATTTCAATGTGATGATTATTTACAGTTGTTGCTGTTGGATGATAATTTCATAATCCTGTAAAGAAAGTGGTATTGTGCCTTCCTTCAGATATACATACAATACTAAATTCTGCTGGACCATTGCATACATTTCTATATTGGGCTGTTTCAGTAGACAATCCAGAACCATTCAGAAGGATATCCAGTCCATTCATGTCTTGGATTATACTGGTTAAATGTGTTTCCAAACCCAAATCAAACTGCTGCTTATGATTTTTGAAGCTTTAAGTTACTGGAGACCAAGTTACGGATTGCCTTTGTCTGAACTAATATCTTCACACTTTAAGAATTGCAAGATAAGGAGATTTAACTTTGCAACAAAGAGGAGTTTTCATGTTGGAAACAGTAAAAATCCAATCGCATACTTAATACCTACACATTTATGGGTATAGAGGATGACCAGAGAAGTAGTTAAATTTTTATCTTTAGCTTATTTTTTATCTAAGTTGCTTCTGAGATAAAGAACTGTTTTGAGATCATAAAATATGTTCTCAATATCCCACTGTTAATTCCTGGTGTTGAGCATTAACTATGAGAGTCAATTGCCTCACTGTGTCTAATGATAGAACCAAAACTCACTACATTCTCATTCATTATTATATTGGTATAATAATTATTTTGCCTTCTATTTATTCACGTCTGGTTTTTACATCAAAATGTATTGTTAGTTCCTCAGAAATTATACCAGCAGATATATTTGAGAATTTCATCAATTTCTCATAAAAAAATAAAAATACCTAGTTAAAATGTTTCTTATGTTTAATCACACCTTCTTTATGATCAAATAATAAAAATCTGTAGGGCATTTTTTCCAGTCCCTGAATCTGGACTTTTTTTAAAATTCTCTAATAAAAAGTCTTATAACAGATGTGGGTATAAAAATAATGCAAGCTAATGCATCTTTAACTGAAATTAAAAACCATTAAATATATAAAATTGTTACTACTTTCTTGATAATAGGAAATGTTTATTGATATTGATATCAATATGCTATACATTTAAAAGGAAATGTATATTGATATTGTGCATCTGAAATACAGAAATACATAATGTATTTTTAAATTGTGTAAAATATTTGAGTAATGTATCAAAATATTTCCATCTGGTTTCTTACTGAGAATATAAAATCTGAGACTATCATTCATACAAAACAAAAATTAGAATATTTTACGTTACTTCTTTCTTTATCAAGAAATAATTTATTTCAGGTTTCTCAAGAAATGAACAATGACATTTGAATAACTCTGAAATCTTATTAATTAGCACAATTAATTTAATCTAAAACAGAAATTATAATTCAAAAATAGTAATTGAATATTCTAATAAAATAGTTTCTCACATGACCAACTAAATATTAACCGTTAAACTAAAAAAACAGGATTTTTTAAAAATTCCAATTTGCCCGGGGATAATATATGACACAAAGAGTAACAAATTTAAACAAACTGACAAAAGTTTTAAAGCATTTGATTACAGTGTCACATGAATGGACATAATTGTTAACAGAACCGACGAAGGCAATAAAATCATTAGATTGTTACTTTAAAATGAGATTTCTTGTGAATTTATAGGCTTATTGACCATGCTAAATTTAAGTGATTTACACAATGCAATACTGTATCATATTCATGCTATGTACGGCAATGTACTTGGAAATTACACTGTATATCTGTTTAGAAATATAGGTAAGAAATTAAATGGACAAAATATACACAAGAATAAATCAATAATTTGAGTATTTCATTTGGCTTCCAAATGAAATATTTATTTTTTATATTTATTTTCTTATATAGAAACAACTGATTCCAAGAAAATAAAGTGGGTAATTCATAATAAAGATTTTTTTCAAGATGGCAAGTTGAAAATAGAGTTCATGAACTTTTCAGAGAGATATTTTACTTTCTTGGTTTATATGTGGTTCTCTTACCTTCAGCAGAAAGACCTTGGACATTTACTCCTCTGGCTGCCAGAAAGCTAAGGCAGACATCAACATTCTCAATCTACAAAATGAATATGAAATAGCAAAGCAGTTAAAGGCTATTTTACAAGATGAACTTGCTTGCTGCAAATGGGTATGGGGGGAAAAAACCCAAAATGAATAGTTTACATTCATCACATAGTCCAGTTCTTTAGCAAAGTTAACAAGAATGATTACTGCTAATTAGGCAGCTGCTATAAAAGCTTTCATTGTCCATTTTGGTGCTTAAAAACAATTCATAAAGGGCTGATCCAGAATGGCATGCTGACAAATCACCAAGCCACCTACGTACAAGAAAACTGGATTTTGAACACTCACATAAACAACAATGAAAGTTTCCATACAAGCTTGAATACTGTGGTATAGTGGGAGACTTAAATTATGGGAGACTGACTGCTTCAGTGTAAACACATCAACAGAACAGATAAGTGTGCATGTGTGTGTAATGAAATGTGATTTTGTAAATAAACTCATTTTTAAATTTTACCTGAAAGAGATCTCTTCAAATTCAACATAGAGTCGGTAAGCAAATTCAGTTACTACTATGGTAACTTTTGAGGATTGTTTTAAATTGGTAGTGTTATTTATTTTAATCAATTTACATAGCTACCTGATTCACATGCAAATGAGAGTATGTAGATAAGTAAAATGACCTATAACAAACAACCACAACCATTACAAATAATCAAACATATTATTTTTGTGGCAATTTCATCCAGCCATCCAAGGGCAACCATCCTTTGCCCTCGGCTACGCTATCTCCTTTTATTCTCCCTCTGCCTCATTCTCTCATCCCAGCATGTGATAGCTTTCTCCTGGATTCCTCTCTGTCCTGCCTTCTCTGATCTCTCTAATTTCAGCCCTTAATCCTCCAGTTGTCTATTTTTGGGAGTTTTCCCCCTCTCTTCCCCTCCCTCCCGTTCACTGGAGTCCCAAAAATGTTTGCCACCGTGGCCATGGCTTGGGGGGGTGGGTGTCATGTGACTGAGTGTGCACTAGTGATGTCATGTTGGCCTATCCACCCAGTCACATGACTGCCAAGCCACGCCCACAAAATAGGCCACACCCACAGAATAGGTTCTAAAAAAATTTGAAACCGACCACTGGACCTAGGCCATGTTCTCTTTGTCTTATCTTATTGGAATGGGCAGGCAATTTTGTGAATTGCCCATCCTTGCCAAGAATGTCTTTATAGGCCATCTTGAATTGACCTAGAAACTTACTGGTAACCAGTATAGCTCACATAGTAAAGGTGTTACATAAGCCTATTAAGCCATGCTTAGAATTACTTGTATTGCTGTATTTTGAACCAGCTATAGCTTCCAAGTAGTCTTCAGGGACACTCTTATATATACTGCATTGCAGTAATCTAGATTAAAATTGACAAATGTGTGGCAGACTGTAAGTAAGATTTCCTGATCCAGAAATGAACAAATTTGGCACACAAGTAGCTTTGCGTAGTCAACCATAACTGCCACTTGTTCTTCAAGCAGGATCCATTAATCCAAAAGTCCTTCCAAATTGGACCCTGTATGGTGTAATGCTATACTCACATGAACCAAATGTGGAAATTCCCTGGATCCATATGGCCCCCAAATGCATATTCATTGTTCTGCTAGAGCTGAGATGTATAACTATAAAGTTGCTACTGACTCCAGAAGAATAGATAATCTCATCCAGCAGCTCCATGAAGATCTTAAACAATAGCAGGGAGAGATCTGAAACTCAAGATACCCCATAGTGCAGGGACCTAAGCCTGGACTTCTTCACTTATCAATACTAATTGGAAACGACTTGGAAGAAGGAGGGAAACCATTGTAACACCATGCATCTCACTTCCAACACTCTGATCTGTCCAGAAGAATACCATGACTAGTAATATTGAAGACCAAGATCAAAGGAGGCCAGGGTGGATGGTTTCTTTGAAAACCAAGGGATTCTCTGGATTCCCTGTGCAGACATAGCTATAATTCACTCTAGGTCCATAACCATTTTCTCATTCCAAAAGGTGACATGATTAAAGTTCAATCAAATCCTCAAGAACATCCCCAAGCATCTTCTGCAAAGTCTATACTTAGGATAGGAGCTATCTTATCTTCTTCATATGGTGTCATCAGGATTACAAAGAAGTTGATAATTCTTTGCTTATTTCAGTTGTGTATAACAGTTGATAATATGGACTTAAGGTCACAGGGTAGGCAGTAGCATTTTGGTAGTGCTGGGCAGAGAGATGATAAAAGACAGGAAGCAGGACACTTTTAGGACAAGAGTGTCTTGTACCAATTGTGCCTTCTAGCTTCTTGACCTCAAACCCAGAGCCTGCTTATGTTATACTTAGTACCCTACTTGATAATAACTTTAAAATATAAACAAATATATCATTTTGTGGATATGATATTCATTTTGTGAATGATACAAATTTTAGAAATCTAGTGCCCTTCCACTACTTAAGAACCAGTTATACTCATGAAAAAAACTAGAGCCATTTCTCCACTGCTGTAGTGATTTGGAGAACATTTAATGTCACTTACTGGTAAACATTGGTGCACTGATATAAAAATCTCCCCTCATTACTGTTATCTCAGAACAGGGATAGCTGAGTGATATTAAAAGACACTGTCAATCATTACTGAGGAAATGTTCTATATATCTAGAAAGATACACTTCTAAAAGAAGAGTGACAGGTAATATGAGATAGAAGCAAAAGGATGAGACATGTGGAAAAATTCCTGAAGTATAAAACTAAATGCTCAGTGAATCACTTTTCCCCTTTCCCACCAATTAAATGAATGCAGAATAGCTATTTTCAATTTATGACCTGCTACAATTGATTATTGATATGTTGGTTTATTAGCTGGATACTTTGGGGAAACTTTAATTCTCTTCTATGCCTCAAAGTTCTAAAGATATAAAACAAATACATTTTAAGTCAACAGTCTAAACTGCTTTGAAGCTCAGTTCATTCTTAAATGCCATACTAAATTGGACAAGTTTTAGAATTTATCAGATTAAAGATTAAAGCACTTAATAATCTTTCAAATGATTTGCAAATCTGATGGCCCTTCTGGTACTACAGAGAATACTTAATGTTACAACTTCACACATATGGAAAATGCTAATGATATTGAATAGCTAGCCAGTGTATTTAATGCCCAATTAACTACTGTACCAATTAGAGATATTTGGGGGGGCTGGACTAACTTTGCTTGCACTTCATTTAGTTTCTCCATTTTCAAGTTCTTATTGTATCAGAATATTTCTGATTTTTCTTGTATTGATGGAAAGGCAACTGGGAATTCAGTTCAGAAGGCAATCTCTAAATACACACTTAAGGGTTAGTTTCCTATACACTCTTGGATCAACTCCCAAGGGTGCTTTTTCAAGAGACAAATGGACTTTATGGTTTTTCTTTGAAGATTTTTCATTTCTCATCCAAGAAACTTGTTCAGCTCAGAGGTGAGTTCTTATCGGTTCGGCTGAACTGGTAGTGGTATGTTGGCCTGGGTCTTAGAATCGGCAGCAAACCAGGCTGCCCACACCCCCAAACTGGTTCCCCAGTTGCCACAATCGCTACCACCATCTTTCTTTGGAATTCTGGGCATGTGCAGAACAATTTCCATTGAGCTATGCATGTGCGCATAGTGTGTGTACGAGAGAACTGGCAGTAACGCCAGCTAGAACCTATCTCTGCTCTAGATGGATGGTGGGGAATGGAAGGATTTATACTCCTGGCACATAGTTGGTCATTTGCATTTTTAAAAGAAAAAGCAAGTAATCAAAAGTACTTTAATAATTATCAAAAAAATGCAAATGATCAGCTGTCTGCAAGGAGTATAAATCCTTCCATTCTCCACCATCCAGCCAGAGCTGAAAAAGCTTCTGGGATGAGAAGTGAAACATCTTCAAAGAAAAACCAGAAAGTCCAGTGGCTTCTTGAAAAAGCACCTTTGGGACAACCATGACCTGGATGACTGACAATCTCCATAGACATCTTGGATCAAAAGTTCTTTTAAGTCTTCCAACAATTATATGACAAGTTATCACATACCTCTATGTTTAGGAATAAGATGTGGCAGAGCTTCAAATAGTATTTGTCTATGCCAATCCCTCTCTTTGATATTGTATCTCATGGTATTTTGCTTCAATTGAACAAAAAAATGCTTTTCAACAAACCTGACGCATTTTAGTTCTACTACTAATTAAAGAATTATTTCTAAAAGGGACCAAGCGGACCAACTAGCAGCTATCTTGCTAGTTATCACATAATGATCAGAGGCAGTAATATAATTTAACTCAGTTCTGTGCTATTTTATAGCACAGATGTCTTTAGCCATCAAAAGAAACAGAAAGAAAAAAAGAAAAGCTGAAAAATTAAACCTCAATTTAAGAGCAAACCAATGTCCTGTGCCTAAACTTGCACAAAATGAGTATTGTGGGATCCCAAGAGAGTCAAAATTGCAAGTCACCTCTACTAGACCTCCTGGTCCTCCACAAACATGCCTTGACTATAATGCCCATAAAAGTGAGTTGGTGATCATTCATTATTGTCTGACATTTAAGAAAAGCAAGTGGAAAATAAGAGCTGTTTCTGAAAAGTATTCTTTTAAAGGTATTGAAGAAAGCTTGATCAATCAATCAATCAGAATAGAGTTGGAAGGGACCTGGAGATCTTGTAGTGCAACACCTGGTCATGCAGAATACCATTTCAGATAAGTAACTGTCAAGTCTCTTCTTAAAAATCTCTAATGATGAAACACCAACAACTTCGGATGGCAAGCTGTTCCACTGGTTAATTGTATTCACTATTAGGAAATTTCTCCTTAATTCCAGGTTGCTTCTCTCCTTGATTAGTTTCCATCCATTGTTTCTTGTCCTGTGCTCTGGTGCTTTGGAAAATAAATTGACCTCCTCCTCTTTGTGGCAGCCTCTCATATACTGGAATACTGCTATCATGTCACCCCAGTTCTTCTTTTCTCTAGACTAGCCAAACTCAACTCCTGCAACTATTCTTCATGTTTTAGT